ATTATTGGCTTCTTTAAAGAATGAAACTGGACGATCTCCTGCAACGTGATCCTTTTGGTGAAAAGCTTATCACCATAACAGGACACAACCTCAATCAAACCCAAATCGACAAATTCCTGGCTAGAATGAGCAAATTTGGAGGAGCTGGTATGTAGATTTGACAATGTTTGTGCTGGCATTGTGTTGTAAGCAGTTTTATTTTTCAGATTACGATGAAGTAACGCAAACTACTACAAGGAAACCTTTCACGGAGGTAGGTCCCATATCGATCTCGTTTTGCAAACGGCACCATTCGTTCCCAGAAACCGTTTGAAATTCTCAAGATTCTTTGCGCTGATGTGTTGATAGAAAAAAAAACCTATGACAAACATTTCAGGCTCCTCAAGTGGTTGATGCGGGTGACTATCGTGGAGCTCGAGTAAGGAGGCAACCTGCAATGGATGACGATGATGAACTGCCCTCAGCGTTCAATGTTGGTCATTTCTAAATGCATATGCTTTTGTTCTACTTCGTAGAACATTCTGTAGAACCCTCTCTTTAGGTATGAGGGGAGGGGGAAGGGTTGACAAGGAGTAGTTTCTGTTTGGAAAAAGTGTTGGGAGGAAAGGAGGCAATTATAATTGTCAGATAGGTAGCAGAAATGTTTACCATTCTGGGGTTGAGCTTAGTTGTGGGCGCTCTATGAATGCTGCGTAAATATAGACTGAAGATAAGACGTGGGGCAATTTTTTACAAATTTTGACTTAGAATAAGAACCATTGATATGAAGGTGGGCACAAAGTCCCGTTAATGGACTCTTTGGAAATGCTAAAAATGTTAAGAACATCATATCACTGGGCATACATCCAAAACTTGGCAACCCAGCAATATAGCCCTAAAATGAGAAAAACGGAGAACTTTATGTCGTACTCGTCCAAAAACTGTCAAGCTTTTGCAGGTTTGTTAAGAAAAACCGTAGGGAGCTTAACCTCATTTAGTTCCAAAATTCTCAACTGTTGGGCCACAGCTTAAAACACTCTGATAATTCCATTTCACAAAGATCATTGAGATTGAGGATTAATTTGAAAAGCTTCTCATAGCTTTGATTACAGATTTATGACACCTACGTCGAATTAAATCAGTTCACTTCTCCTTATGATGCTCTTTGGATTGTGCTTGTGCAAGTCTCGGCTGTGTTTCTATGTTATCACAGTAGTAAATTTGCGTGCAAGGTGAGGAAACGAATTTCTGGCTGAAATTTCTTTCACAATTTTCTTTTATACAGGTTATGATGCAACGCCTAGGATTCGCTCTACCAATGGCACTGGCTGTTCCGACTACGGTGCTCGTATTGTCCACCACATGTACTTTCCGCTCGGTGGACTCTTGTTATATGACGAATGCTCTCACGAAGGTGTGAGATGGCTTTTTAGGGGATCTAAGGAGGAGTGCTATCTCTCGTCTTCTTAAGAAAGCTTGCGAAATACTTAATTATTACTTTTTGCATATTTTTAATGTATTTTACAGAGGCCATATTTTTCATAGAATAATTGAAAAATTTGAATTTGCTTGTAAACTTATTCCCGCTTCACCATGAGAAGATTCGCTTCAAAAATAGTCCTACCTTCTTAGCTTTTCTTGCAAATGTTGATTTTTCGAGGGAAACCGGCTTCGATCCGAACGCGTGGATATGTTT